GGGAGTTGTCGGGTAAAAACGAATATCACACGGTCATGCCTTAAAAGACACCAAACAGCACTTAACTCATCTTTCAAGGTATGAACGGAACATGGTACACCTAAAATGGTCATATCAGCTTCGAAAAATGAAAAAGACGAAGTTACCTCTTCGCACTCTCGATGAACTGATCAAAGCTTCTCGGTCCTAACTTGCTTCGCGTGCGTGTGTGCTTGTCGTGCGTACAAATGGCTTAAAACTCTCTTAATCTCACTAAACTTGTGTTAATTATAAGGAAATCTTACTCTTAACTTGCTGAGTGATAGAATATGTGTAAAGTAAAATTTTCTCCCCCATCATGCATAAATGGCCGTACAAAATTATAAAGAAGGGTGATATTTGCCTTGTCCAATGATCTTGCACCACTTGCTGAGCACCTAAGGCTTGAGGTGTAAATTTATTTGCTTAGTCACCCTCAAATAAACCATAGGCTTCCATGTGTCCCTAATAGTAATAATGAATTTCACATGAGAATTTTGGAGACCACACTCACGGCCATAAGCATGATCATGCTCTTAGTTAAACTTGCTCACGGTTTTACCACTTTAAGTGGGGAGAATTTCATGACTTCTAATAAAAATTGCTCACGGCCTTAACTAATTAATATGATTAATAATTAATTAAATATCATATATATATACTTAATTAATTACTAAACATGATACTTAACATCTGAAATTATTCCGAACGTAAACTGGACGTCGAAAATAATTTCGGGTAATCTCGACTGAAAAATAATTAATTCCGAAAAATAATATTCAACAATTATATCGGAACTAAAACATGATTTATATTACTAATCTGACGGGATATTACTGACTGTATAATTAATTCCAAACTCATTAAATAGACGAATCGGAATTAAATCCGAAAACTTATTCGGTTACTTAAATAATTAAACAGAATAATTGATCGACTAATAGTCGAACTTAGAATATAACTGGCTGATTAACCTGAACTTGAACAT